AAAGAGTTACTTTTATACTCTTCCAAACGATTTCTGGTTAATCAAAACCCTTTTACTGTCATATAGAACATTAGCCCTTTTGGAATATTCCCACAATAATTAGACAGGCCGTTATTTGCTCAGTATGATGAAGTGACCAGCCTGTTGCCAAGAAAGGACCTTGGAGATTCTTTTTTTCCCTGAAATCTGGACAAATAGAGATTTTTAACTTATCACACTTCAAACAAGAAGTTTAAACACTCCTTGGGCTTTTTATTGTGCATACTGATCTCATCCACTTACAAACTTGTTCAAAGGTGATGGCTGCACAGAAGATGCCTTCGTAACACATTGTTGACTGAAAAATCCCAAGTTCGGCCGTTACCCTGATATTTTTGCATCCCCCCTCGCTGTACGAGCTAGCTCTTGCTCCCAGCTCCCCAGGTGGCCTGGTGAACAGGCTGAATGAAGTACCTGCAATGTTGTTGCAGCATTAACAATCAATCACCAGCAAAATGGCTCCGAACCTTGAAACAAAATCGACTCCAAAACTGTAGAATGAAGGGAAAAATTCCAGTTAATACAGTTATTTTACTGACTTTTTAAAAAGTATGCTGTAAGCATCAACATGATAAAAATGACAAATTGTTGGAGATGGGAAGGCTTTAGAGAGCCATAGGTATTCATGAGAAAGAGGGAGGTGGGCAAGGATACGCGTGTTTGGTCTGAAGGAAGAGGCGAGGACAGAGGGTTTTATTTCTCTAGAGAGAAAATGGCGATACTCCTTGTTCCATGCTGCAGGAAGACGAGGAGGGTTGCTCGTTATCACATGGGAGGGAATCAGAAGGAGAAAGGATTCTGAGCGGGAAGATGGGAGGACGGTCATCAGAGCAGGAGAGCTGAGATCTAAGGTGAAGCCACATCTGTTGAGGAAGGCACAAATAAGCTCTGTCACGCTGTTAGCGAAAAAGCTCCATAGGAAGCAGAGACATCTTCTTGAAAGAAAGCGGTCTGGAGGTTATGGACCATATTTCTGCATATGTGATCCTCATTAAGTCCCTAGGAGCAGATCAGAGAAAGCTTTTCTCATCCAGCTGTTTCCGAAAAGCCGATTCCCGTACGGTCTCGGGAGCCAGCGCTACCCCGTGCCCGCCGGTCGCAGGTTCCTCCCGCCGGCCCCGACTCGCAGCACCCCGTGTTGAGGCGGCCAGAGCAGAGTCCCCCGGGGGTGATCTGGGGACCGTTCCCCCGTGTTTCAGAGATTTTGCATGTGTAATGTCTTGTCCTAAGTATTTCTGGAAGCTGCACTTTGCTGCATTTAAAATCCTTTAACTTAAATTTCTCCACTGCCCTTTTCCATGCTCCGCAGGACGGCTAACTACTTCTCTCTTTTCTTTGAGAATCCTTGCCACTATTCGGATGGCAATCTGCCTATTTACAGTGAACACTCTCCCATTTGCAGGAGGGAAATGTATGCATAGTATTGAACTGGAAAGAAAGAGTGTGGC